TATGGCTACCTATTACAGGTATTACTCCTCGTTTTCTGTGTTTCCCTTGTACCAGGCTTGTGTTCCAGCCTTTGTTTTTTCAATAAAGGTAATAGTTGCTTCTATACCCTCTTTTGTTTGAAAGAGGATAGGTAGCAGAGATGTCAACAATCAAGCCAAGCCAAGCTCCAGCTTGGCTTGCCTCAGCTTGATAGGCAAAAGCAAAACTGTCAGCTTGGCTTGGCTTGACTCAGCTTGGCTTGGTGTATCAAGCCAGCTTGATTGATGAGCTTGATGAGCTTGATGGTCATAGCGTCTTTTTCAAAGTTATTCAAGTACGTGATATTAGCTATAACTATAGCGACTATTCTTGGTGTTGAGTTTCGCTATCGCTATTGATATCGCTATCCCACTTGCTTAGCTCATATAACGCCTCTATACTGTCATCAGTTATAGTGACTTTTGAGCTAATATCATCGTTGCCTAGACCAGCTTTGCGCCACCGTCGTACGCACTGTATCGCCGCCAAAAGCTGCGGTTGTATACCTCGTCGACGAGGCTCTAGCAGATCCCCAAGCTCACTGAACATGCGCTCACACTCGCAGCTTGACGCTGGTATTGAGAGCACATCTAGCGCAAGCCTACTAAGACGTGGGTAACGATCTCGCATGAGTAGCCAGTATCTTGTAGGGTTGTTGGCGTATTCAGCGCCTCTCTCTACACGCGGCTCGCACTGTTTCCATCGGTCGAACCCGTCGTCTACTACCGCGTCGTTGCTAGCAGTCGCGGTATTAAGGAGGGCGTCAATTGCATCGTCCATGTCAGTCGAGAACGATTTCGGGCGCTGTACTATCGCTAGAGTAGTATCTAGAGTAGTATTATAGGTAGCCCATAAGGCGCGAAAGCCGCGATTGTTAATAGTAAGCCAGTCAGGTTTGTCAGCGCTCCACGACAGGTCGCAGTACGTTTTGTAGCAAGGATGGAGTATTGTAGCAGCATAGTAAGCGGGCGATAGATCTAGCTTGTCATAGTAATCATTTGCTTTTGCCCACGCTGCGCGCGTGTTGATCGCGAGATGGTCCTCGGGCGCCTCGTCGTGAGCGTTATAGTCGACAGCGTCGTAGGCTTGGACTCGCTGCTCGTAGTAGTTGAGTATATACTCAAATACCGGTATCACCTCAGCGATAGCACCAAATCTGCCAGACTTGCCGCGCCCTTCGAGGCGTTTTGTCGCGGATTTCAGAGGCCGTAGCACATCTATGTACTCAGTAACTACCGCCCAGTCATGTGTTGTTAGGCCGTCTGATCGCATCCACCGCGGCGCGATAGGCAGTCGGTTACCGCGCGAGCTTGCCCATGAGTCCGCCTTACGTGTTTCGTTTATATGGTGATTGGCGTATGCGTTGATAGCTGCTTGTAGTTGTACAGCGCGCTCAAAGCAGGCATAATAGGAGTTCCAGCGGGTGACAACAGGCTTGACAGGCTCGAGAATCTTGCGACTATCGGCAGGCGCGTCAGCTGGCAGCTCATCGTGGGCTCGACGCTGAAAGCTTTCAAATAGCTCGTACTGTCTTGGTGTTTTGATATGGTTGACAATTGCCATAAGAACGCCTAAAGGCCCTTCACGCCTCCACTCGCCCATATACTCGTCTTCAGTAGTAAGCTCGCTCGCGCTATTATTATACGAGTTATAGTCCCTCCCCCAGAGCAGCGTTTGGCCGACAAGATTAATCGTATGGGGGCCACAGCGGAGGCGGCGATGAGAGGCGTCAAAGCCCACCGTCCGCGCGATTGCGTCTACCGCAGCGTTATTGTTTCTCGCGTTATCGAGTACAAAGTAGCCAATACAGTCTAAGTCGACATCAAACTGTCTTAGCGTTTCTATAACAATCTCCGCTATCCTCTCACCAGTATGAGCGCCTGTTAACTGCGGCAGCGCGATAGGCAGGTCTACAATGTTGCCTTGGCTGTCAACAAAGTGAGCGACAATACCTAAAAAGCCGCGCTTACCGCCCTTTGTTGTCCAGCCGTTAAAGCTGATATGTATCTTGCTCTGTGCCCGTGATAGCGCTTGAATAACCCGCGGCTTGAGGTAGTTGTATAGGCGCAATATGTAACTAGAGACGCTATTATAGGAAGCCCATAGAGCTTCCTCCGCTTGTGGATTAGCTGACGCGATAAGGTCTCGAAAAGCTGGCGACTCGAAAGTGGAAAGTGGCTGGTTAGTCTTAACAATCCAGGCAACTGCTGCAAGCCTAAAGCGCTGGATATTGAAGCTAGAGAGCTCATTCGCGACTGCTTGGCTAACTCGATTGCCAGTAAGCACAGCCTGGATAGTGTTGAGTACTTCAGCATCAGCTTTCTCGGGTGTCTTGTAGCCATGGCCAGGCTTATCCTCCTCAAGATGTCGCTGGGCTGCTGACGTTGATCTTGTTGTTTCATATATACAACAGACACCAGCGTCAATAAACTTTTGCTTATAGCAAAAGCGGCATATAAAGTAGTGGCGTCTAGGATTAATCCGCGACGCGACGCGGTAGCCATAAAGGTATATCCAGCTTTTCTTCCCGCGCTGCGACGCCAAAGGCTTCATATACTGAGGAAAGTGGCCCCAGTCAAGGCCTTCGAAGGCGTCTACTAGGTGTTCGTCGAAGCCTATGCCAGCAGGCTCGTTAGAAGCTATCGTTGCCTCCTCGCTGCCGTCAGCGGGTGGGACAATAGCTTCTTGAGCCTGCGTTTCGCGCAGCCGCGCTTCGAAGTTCGATACCTAGGACGCTTCAACTAGAGCTTGACGAGGTGACAAACGAGAAGACGACGGCGGGCTTTCGATAGATATAGGCTGGCTTAGAGTACCGCGGGGCATGCCCCGAGACCGCTTTGGTGGGGTAGCAACAACAGCTTGGACGCGTCTTTTTGGTGGCATGCTTGCAATTAAGAGATTGGTAAAACAAGAAAACGTATGTAATAGATTAACACGTATTGTATTAGAGATAGAGA